AACAGGCACACAATAATAGTGGGAGATTTTAACACCTCACTGACAGCATTAGACAAATCACCAAGGCAGAAACTAACAAAGAATTTCTGGACATAAATTTGACACTTGACCAACTGAACCATCTGCAGAGTACTCCATCCTATAACCACAGAATGTACATTCTTCACATCCACACATGGACCATACTTGAAGATTGACCACATGCTCAGTCATAAAGCAAGTCTCAATAAATTCAAAAAATCAAAATAATACCAAGTATATTCTTGGACCACAATGAAATAAAAATATACATCAAACCAAGAGGAACTGTCAAAACCACACGAATACGTGGTAAGTAAACAACTTATTCCCAAATGGGTAAACATTGAAATTAAGGCAGAAATCAAAACATTCTTTGAAACAAATGAAAATAAAAACACAACATACCAAAACCTCTGGGATATGGCAAAAGTAGTGTTAAGAGGAATGTTTTAGCACTGAACACCTAGATCAAAAACATAGAAAAATCTCAAAATAATAACCTAATCCTGCACCTAAAAAGAACTAGAAAAACAACAATAAACTAAACCCAAAGTTATCAGAAGAAAAGAAATAACTAAAATAAATGCAGAGCTAAATGAAATTGAGGACCAAAAATATATATAAAAATCAATGAAATGAAATATTGGATCTTTGAAACGATTAACAAGATTGAGAGACCACTAACAGGATTAGCAAAGACAAAGAGGGAGAGGATCTAAATAAGTGCAATCAGAAATAACAAAGGTGGTATCACAACTAATCCCAGAGAAATTTCTGTTCTAAGTCATCCAGTTTGTAGTACTTATTACATGAGCCTTAGGAAATTAATACAAATATTAACAACTTTATGCTTATAAATATGACAGTTAGAAGGAAAATGACCACTTTCTACCAAAACTTAACCAGGATGAAATAGATAATCTGACTTATCCTATAACTAATAACAAAATTGAATATGTAATTTAAAAGCTCTGAAAAAGAAAATTCTAAGCCCAGATAGTTGCACAGAAGCATTCTGCAAAACATTAAGGAAGAATTAACACCAGTTTTACACAATCTCTTCCAGATGAAGGCAGAGGAAGGAATACTTCTTAACTCACTATATAAAGCCAGTATTACCCTTATAACAAAATAAATAAGATAATACAAAAAACTATAAAAAATTACAGAAGAACATCTCCCACAAATTTAGATATAAAATTCTCAAAAAATAAATATTAACAAATTGAATTTTAAAATGTATTAAAAAATGTACATACCATGACCAGGTAGGATTTATTCCAGGTATGTAAGACTGGTTTAACACTTGAAAATCAATCAAAGTAATCCACTATATAAACAGGCTAAAGAAGAGAAGTCATATGATCATGTCAATTAACATAGAAAAAGTATTTGGCAAAATCCAATAGTCATTCATGATTTTTGAAAAACTCTTATCAAGTTAAGAATAGAAGGGCATTGCCTAAACTTGATAAAGTGTATTTATTTTAAAAACCCTACAGTTAACATCATACTTCATGAAGAAAGACTGAATTTTTTTTTCCTAAAATTGATAAAAATGGGAGAATAGTCACTCACATCACTTTTTTCCAAAATAGTGCTTGAAGTTAGAGCCACTGCAATAAGTCAAGAAAAGCAAATAAACGACATTCAGTTTTTTAAAATGAGAAAATAGAAGTATTCCTATTTGTAGATGACATTATTATCTATGTCAGAGATCATGAGGAGAATAAAAGAAATCATGAGGAATCTCAAAAAAAAAAAATGCTAGAACTAATAAGTGAGTTTGGCAAGGTCACAGGACACAATATTAACACATGGGAATCAATCTCATTTTTATATACTAAAAATGAACATATGAAAATCAAAATTAAAAACATGATACAATTTACAATCACTCCCAAGAAAAGTGAATACTTAGGCATATGTTTACCAAAATATGTACAGGTTACGTATACTGAAGATTTCAAAACGGTGATAAAAAAGATCAAAAGCGACCTACATAAGTGAAGAGATATCTCATGCTCGTGTATTAGAGGAGTCAACATTGCAAAGATGTCAAATTTCCCCAAATTTATTAATGTAATTCCTATCAAAAACCCAATAATATTTTTGTAGATATCAACAATAGTAGTATTCTAAAATTGGTATGAAAAGACACAGTCCATAGAATATATAAAACAATCTTGAAAAAGAAGAATAAAATGGGAAGAATCACTCTACTCAATATTAAGACTTACTTATAGCTACATAATCAAGACAATGTTGTATGGGCAAAGGGATAGACACATATATCAATGGCATAGAATAGGGAACTTAGAAAAAGTCCCAAAATAATATGTTTAATTTTTGACAAAGGTGTACATGCAAACCAATTCAAAGGAGGAAGAACAGCCTTTTCAATGGATAGTACTGAAGCAATTGGACACAAATGCGAAAAAAAAAAAACCCTTGACTTAATTCTCACAAATTATACAAAAAAAAAAACCTCAAAATGAATACTGTGCTTAAATGTAAAATATAAAACTATGAAACTTTTAGAAAAAAATTATGAGAAAATCTTCAGGTTCTAAAGCTAGGCAAAGAGTCTTATACTTGACACCAAAAGCACAATGCACAAAAGAAGAAACTTGATAAATGTTTCAGGAGACTTCGTAAATCACATCACATCTAATACATGAAAGGTAATTCAGTATCAATAACTATCAGGGAAATGCGAATTGAAACCATAATGTGATATTACTATATACCTGTCAGAACAGCTAAAATAAAATTATAGTGACAACATTAAATGCTAGTGAGGATGTGGAGAAAGTAGATTACTTGCATTGCTGGTAAAATGGTACAGCCACTCTGGAAAACAGTTTGGCGATTTCTTTTAAAACTAAACATGTGAAACAACAGGTGCTGGAGAGGATGTGGAGAAATAGGAACACTTTTACACTGTTGGTGGGATTGTAAACTAGTTCAACCATTATGGAAAACAGTATGGCGATTCCTCAAGGATCTAGAACTAGACGTACCATATGACCCAGCCATCCTATTACTGGGTATATACCCAAAGGATTATAAATTATGCTGCTAAAAAGACACATGCACACGTATGTTTATTGCAGCACTATTCACAATAGCAAAGACTTGGAATCAACCCAAATGTCCATCAGTGACAGATTGGATTAAGAAAATGTGGCACATATACACCATGGAATACTATGCAGCCATAAAAAAGGATGAGTTTGTGTCCTTTGTAGGGACATGGATGCAGCTGGAAACCATCATTCTTAGCAAACTATCACAAGAACAGAAAACCAAACACCGCATGTTCTCACTCATAGGTGGGAACTGAACAATGAGATCACTTGGACTCAGGAAGGGGAACATCACACACCGGGGCCTATCATGGGGAGGGGGGAGGGGGGAGGGATTGCATTGGGAGTTATACCTGATGTAAATGACGAGTTGATGGGTGCAGCACACCAACATGGCACAAGTATACATATGTAACAAACCTGCACGTTATGCACATGTACCCTACAACTTAAAGTATAATAATAATAAATAAATTAAAAAAAAAAAACAAACTAAACATGTGATTACCATATAACACGATTTCACTCTTGGGCATTTATTTCAGAGAAATAAAACTTTTTTTTCAAACTAATACCTGTGCACTACTGTTCATACAAGCTTTATTCATATAGCCAACAACTGAAAACATCCCAGAAGTCTTTCAACGGGTGAATGATTAAATAATCTATGGTGTATCCATACAATGTAACACTACTCAGCAATAAAATGGAATAAACTATTGATACACAAGAGAGCTCGGACACATTCCTAGGGAATTATGCTGAGTGAAGAAAAGCCAATCCCCAAAATTTAAATACTATATAATTCCATTATAACATTTTGAAATGACAAAATTATAGAAATGGAGAACAGATTAGTGGTTACCTGTGGTCAGGGACCAGGACAGGGATGGGGAGGAAGGGAGGTGGGCAACACAAGGGATTTTTATGATGATAGAACTGTTCTGTTTCTCAACTTAAGTAGTGGATACATGAGCACATTATATAGAATGCAATACACACACACACACACACACACACACACACACACAAATACAAGTAAAACTGGAAAATTTTTACCTAGATTGGTGGTGGATTGTATCAACGTCAATATCCTTTGTGATATTGTATGACAGGTTTGCAAGATGTTACCATTTGGAGAAACCAAGTAAGGGTACACTGGCTCTCTCTACTATTCTTACAACTGCATGTGACTCTAAACTCACTGAGAACAAGTGGGAAGTAATATAGGCATTCTTAATTCTCCCTTAAACAGGGACCTATATTTTTATTGGTATATGTCCTTAGCATTTTTATAAAGCCTCTCATGGTGCCACTTGTATTTTATCAGCATCTCCTATATGAAATGAAATGTACATAAGGCTTCGAAGTATTAAAATTTCCAAATAATAATAGCAGAAAGAAAAATATCTTCAAATACCTTGTCAGTAGAAAGTAAAGAAGCTAAGGGTCTAAATCAACTGCCCATATTCTTTTGGCAAAATATCAAACTTTCAACGAACAGATTAGGTAGCAATTTCAAGAAAATTTTTTTCTTTATATTTTACTTTTTTCTAAGATAATTTGATTCAGCGACTGAAATTTAGAATAAAAAAAGACAAAGAACAAAAGATAAAAAGAGGCAGTAGACTCAGGATCCTGGAGTCTAGTCTCAAATCTGCTACTATCTGTGAGTTTGGGCAGAACTACTCAATCTTTTTGTATCTCAACTTTCTGCTAAAAATAAAAGCATTATACCAAACCCCAAGGTTCCTTCCAGTTCAAAATAGTCTATGATCCTATGAAATTTAGAATGTTGATGAAGGTATAGTTGATAATGTTTCATCCCATTCCTTCATTAGACCTAATTTAATAAAGTTCTCCATGGTAACTTCAATTGGCAATCCACGCATTCCCTTCAGCTGTGTAAATGATGCTCCTCATTCCAGTATGACTGTCCAGGTTTCATTACCAAGTCTCTAAGTGCTAATTAACTTTGAAACTGCTCTTCAATATGGGCTGAATTACAATTCATAGTAAACTGCTTCTATCTCCCTCAGATTGTTCTTAATTTGTTTTCAGACACATGGAGTGTCATTTTACTGCTATTCTTAACTGTTTCCTTTGGAGTTCCTCTTTTTCAGTCATTCCATTGAATGAAATAATTTTGAAGAGGAGAGAGATTGAAAAAGGTTTTAATCATATAGCAGCTTCAAGACTTCTTAGCTACCAGTGCTTTGGGGGGGCTCTTGCCTAACATTCTTCTGTGGCTCAGATATTATTGTTCTCAAGAGTTACCCTTGGTACAAATTCTCTGTGGTACTCATCTTCTTATACTATCTGAACCCCACCCTCTGCTCAAAACCATAAGTATCTTTACTGCATCACCAAATCAGAGCCTCTTTCCCAAGGAGCCCATCTGGATATTGACCATCACTGTGAAACTATTCTGCTATATTACTCAGATTTTCTACATTACTGCTGCCTTACAAGGACCCTTCTCTAATTCTCATTGGCTTACAACCACAATATTTATTTCTTTCTCACAGATCTACAGGTCAGATGTTGGTCAAATGGACTTGAGTGGGCTTGCCTGGCTTGGCTCCCGGCTACAATTGACAGCATGTCCATTTTGCATGTCTCTTCATTCTGGAACCAGCAGCTGCTCAACAGTTAATATTCTTCTCATGAAAGAGTATAGATTTGCAAGAGTATTGGCAGAAACTTTCCATATTTCTTTGAGGTTTTTAACTCAAAACCGTCATACTCTCAATTGTGTACACATTTCATTGGTCAAAGTAAATCATATAAACAATCCAAACATCACTTGGATTGGGGAAGTCTATTCTACACATGGAGAATCCATGGTAAAGGCAGAGAGGGGAAGAACAATTGTAAACAAATAATATCATCTATGTCTGCTTACTACTATAAAGAGAACAAAGTAAAGGCAACTAGAATTACCCCAGTATAGGTTGAAGGAGTTTTATGGTCTCAAGTTGCTTTTGGAGAGTGATAATCTGGATCTTGGAAACATGCTCTCGGTTTTAATGATCTCTTCATTCTTTCTTCCTGCCGAGACCTGAAGGGCTTCATCAAATGGCCCGTGCTGACATCCCACAGCTTCGAAGCTGTAAGGTGGGAAAGAGGCTCAGAATTGGAGATGCAGTAAGAATACTTAATGTTTGGGGTAGGGTATGGGGATCAAATAGTATGAAGGGATGAGAACCACAAAAAGTTTTCCTAGCCTTGATTTTCTCAAATAACTGGGTGGTATAATAAAACAAGGGTCACATGAGTAAAGAAAATGTTACACTGTATCAAGGGTAACTCTCTCAAAATTGAGAATAGTGAGACCTGAGCCCCAGAGGAATGCTGGGCAAAGATCTCCCAAAAGCGCTAGCAGCTAAGCAAGAAGTCTTGAAGCTGCTATATGATTAATACCATCTCCAGTCTCTTCCTGCATTGATAGTCACACCCACACTTTCTCTCTCCCTCTCTCTCTGTCTCTTCCCTTCCTCTCTCCCTCTTTCCCTCTCTCCCTCTCTCCCTGTCTCTCTCTCTCTCTCTCTCAAAAAGATGTAGTGACTTGCCCAAGGACAGAGAATGTTACTGTTGGAAGTAATACAAATTTTGACTAAAGACTAATGTTGATTTCCTCCATCTGTGGTTGACTCCCACACTCACCAAGGTCAGAACAGCCACTAAGGAGTATTTTGAAAACTTGAGAGGAACTTTTTTATTTTGACAATGATTTGGGGTGGTACTGGCATTTGGTGAGTCAGGGTTGACAGATACCCTACAACGAGCAAGACATACAAAAAAGTTTGATATCCCACATGAATTTCTAATGTCTTAATGCAGCCATGTAAATGAAAATCCCATTTATAGGTGTTTATACCTAGAATCTAACTCCATGTCACACAAAGTGTTCTCTGTAAGGTGTTAATTTGCACTGAAGTTTTTAGAACTGCAACCACTGTATAAATTAAAGGAAGACTGTATTTCCTTTCATTCGTTTTGCTCTAAACTTTACCAAGGGTTGTATACCATTCAGAAAAATCATATCTCAAAGGCAATGCTACATGTGTATTTGGGTCACCAATACAACTCACCTGTATCAGTCTGCAGCTGTAGTTCTTGTGTCCACACTGATTAGAATAATAGGTGCAAGCAACGGACATTATGTCTTAAAGTACTGTCATGCCTGAACACATACTGAAACATATCATAAATTACATATTTCTATGTAATTTATTTTATGTAATAAACACATATTGAATCACATTACCTGTTGTGAAACACATATGATTAAAATATTTTTTATAAATTCCTTTTATTTCTCTTTTATATTACAATTTGGATATTCTATTGCTTTTTAAAAACATCTATATAAGTTATATATGAATTTTATTTCGAGGTATTAAAATGGTACCAAAAACTTTAAAAGGTAACAAACATTTTACAATAATTGTGTAAAACATTTTTGTAAAATATTTTAAAAGCATCCAAATATTTACAAAAATAGCTGTTATAAAAACAATACTAATTTTGACAGGTTTGAAAACTCTCTATGCAATCCTTCTCTTTCTTTTCCAACTATTTTTCTAGCTAAAAATGACACATACAAGTATCAACCCTTGATTGACAATTTATAATTGTGAATTAATGAAATCAAATTTAATGAAGTGCTATTGATAAATGTCTAGTTTACCCTCAATTCACTAATTCAAGTGTCAGTAATTTTTCCCTTAACTATGCTTTTTACAAAATGCTTTTTAGCCTCTTTTCTTCATGCCTTCCCTTCTCTAAGCTACTATTATCATATTCATGTCTTAGCTCTAATCACTGTGTGTTAAAAGATCTTTCAGAGAAAACAAGAGCTAATCTGTATTTGGTCCAATAGAGAACACATTCTATGGGTTATTCAATTATGTTAGAATATGAGTGCTTACAGTCAGACTTTCTGGGGTTTTTTTGTTGTTGTTCCTTGTATTTATCTGTCATTGAATGTTTTCCTTACTTGATTTCCCTATTTTTGAACTGGTCCTATTTTTTCTTACTGAATGTTTATGCTTTGTAATCCTCTGAATTAAGATAATTCCACTGGGAAAAAGCATCCTTATTCTATCTGATTCACCCTCTCTGAGTTTCCCCCCAAATTATCTTCCAGTACATCAGCCAAATTTATTAATATGCTATGTCAAATATTAAACACCGGGGGAAGGAAAAAAATCAACAATCCCAATTTATGCTTTCAAGGATTTTCTTCTCCTGGTTACAGAAATCCATACCCTAGAAATAAGGAGAAGATAATGATATCTGTACACATAGCATTATCATTAAACGCCCAAACACAAGCACATAAGTTTTTCACGCAGTTTTTCAGTTCTTAGTATTGTGGTATAATTTATTTACAGAAACTCAGTATAATCTTTAAGAAAAAAAAACTGAAAAGTGTCTATAGGTGTCCAAACCCAGAACTTTAAAATTAAACTACATGCCATGAAGATACTGTCAACTGAAATGAATTGAATTGCTTGCATGTCTAGTTCAATTCAAATTGCCACTGCTCATCGGCTTATTTGGTGTTCAGTTAATATATATAAACCCAGGTATATTAGTCAGCCTTTGCGCTCTGATAAAGACATACCTGAAACTGGGCAATTTACAAAAGAAAGAGGTTTAATGGACTCACAGCTCCACGTGACTGTGGAGGCCTCACAATCATGACAGAAGGTGAAAAGCACATCTCACATCATGGCAGACAAGAGGAGAGAGCTCGTACAGGGACACTTCCCTTTATAAAACCATCGGATCTCGTGAGACTTAATTCACTATCATGAGAGCAACATAGGAAAGCCCCGCCCCTATGATTTAATTACCTCCCACTGGGTCCCTCCTATGACCTGTGAAAATTATGGGACCTACAATTCAAGATGAGATTTGGGTGGGGACACAGCCAAATCATGTCACCAAATCAAAGACATAAGGTTCAAATAATAATTATTGCCTTAGGGGATCCCATTTTTGTCACAAAATAAATAATGGGCTTATAAAAGTTACCCATATATTTATATGTCTTTGTCTGGAATTTATGCTTTAGTCCAATTTATAAGCAAGAATTATGCCATCTTAGCAGATGGTCCTACATGCAAATAACCAAAAGAACAGGAAGAATTGGAAGTGGTTTCTATATAATGGAATATAATTCAAGATGAAAAAATAAGAGACAATTATATAAAGCCAGGAAGAAAAGCATCATCACTCTAGCTGTACATTAGTGTCACCTGGAAAGATTTAAATATACATACCATTGATTCAGACATAGCTAATCTGAGGAGTGGCCTGGATGTTGGGATTTTTAAAAGCCCCCCATGTGATTCCAAGACAAAGCCTAGGTTGAGACCTATAGCACTAAACAAAACTTGGAATTCAATGTGTTACCAAACATATTTAATGGATATTTAAAGCAAATATTTGAAAGAGACTTTTTTCCAACCAAAAAGTGGTTCTGTCAGTATAATAAAATATTTTCCACAGCTATAGGTGATGATATGTATTTTCTTCCTAATATCAATAATTACTTATTTTATCAAAATAATTTAGGTCAAAGAATTATAATATATAATATTTCTGACATAGTTTAAAAAAATATGACATGCATATTTTTAATTAAATGCAATAAAAATGGGTACTTCAAATTGTGAGTGAATTGCTAAAGCTCCATCATTATACAACTCTAAGTATGCATGTTTCTAACTGCCAAAAATTATGGACATATTTTATGCTGAGAGCTCAGGCAGAGTTAGACACAGCAGATGGTATCATGGCTTTGCTCAAACTGTTTAGATTACAGACACAATAATACAGTATTTTTTTTTTTTTGCTTTTGTATCATTACCTACATCTGTATCAATTTAAAGATTTACGTATATTAACAGCCAAGCAAAATCCCCTTTATACAGGATGTCTGAAACAAAAGTCAACGCAGTTAAGGAAGTGAAATAAGTATAATGTATGCAATTTTAGTTCAGTTAACCCCATATCAACTCACTGAAATCTAACTCTGCATAAATCCATTCTACTCATAATTTGATCCAAAACAAGCCGCATCAACATCACTTGGGAGCTTGTTAGAAATACAGAATCTGAGGTTCCACCTAGACCTACAGACTCAGAATCTGCATTTTAACAAAATCCCCAAATGGTGCACATTAAGACTTACATGACTACTCTGGGCAATTTGTATTCACATTAAAGTTTGCATGACCACCTCGCCAAATTTTCTAATTTTATCAAATTACCAAAAGCATGTCTTAAGGAACAGTCTTGAATGTGTGCAATTAATATATTCAATAACTATATTCTCCTTAGCAGCATTTTAAAGAATATTCAGTCCAAAGCTAAGGGTCATAGCATAGAATAGTCTTTTAACAAAGCTATTCTTTTTACCAACATATTTGTAATGAAGGTAATCACGAATAATATGCAGTGGTTTTAAATATATTCTCAAGCTAAAATATATTAATGAAGGATATATTCATAAGTACACATGCTTAAAATATATTCTTATTCTTATTTTTTGTAGCAATGGGGTCTCACTCTGCCACCCAGGCTGGTCTTGAACTCCTGGCCTGAAGTGATCCTCCTGCTTTGTCCTCCCAAAGTGCTGGGATTATAGGCATGAGCCACCGCATTGGGCCTTATTCTTAGTTTTGGAATACAAACCATATTTTTTAGTAAATTCCTAGAAATTTGGAAAACAAATGGTCCATTTGATAAAAGAGTAATTTGACCAGTTAGCTTTAAGCAAAATGGCATTTGGTAAATTGATTTTTACTGGTCAGCTTGTTCCATTGAGCATGGTAAATCTATCCATATTTTTATTATACTTTTATTTCCACTGCAGTTTTAAAACCATTTGAGTAGGCTGGTAAATATTCAGGCAATGTTAAATAGGAGTTAAGAGCAGATCTGGATTTGAATATTAGATCTACTCCTAGTATGGTTTTGATGAACTTATTTAACCCTCTAAGACTCTGTTTCCCTAGACCACGTGGCTATTGTGATAATACTACACAAGTCCCTAGTACATATTAATTACTCACTAATTTTTATTATAATTCTT